TGCTGACATTGAGAATGTTGTTGATTTATTGTTGTTGTTGTTGTTGTTGTTGACGATTAGGACGTTGTTGCTGTCGATTTTATGTCTTTATGTCTTTTTACTTGTTGATGTTGTTGGCGATGATATAATGTTTCACATAGCAGCGATTTTGTTGTTGCTACTAGTGATGTTGTTTTTTTGATGATGTTGTTGTTGGAGTTGTTTGTTTTAAAGTTGATGTTGTTACAACAAATGATGTTGTTTCTGTTGTTATTTTTATAGGAAACTGTTTAACCCACATAGTTCATATCGCGTTGTTGTTTTTGTTGTTGTACAGTATTTGATGAATGATGATAGGAAGAATTTTTCTCTGTGATGTTGTGTTGTTAGTGTTTGTTTGTTTGTTATAGGGTCTAATGTTGTTGTTGTTGATTTGTTATTAAGTAGTATAATTGTTGTCGTTGCTGTGGCTGTTGTGGTTGCCGTAGTTGTAGCTATTATGGTTGTCGTTGTTAGCATCATTGATGCCATTGATAAATATATCATTTTTTAACACTTGTTAACAAATGTTGTTTAAAAACACTTTTTCGTTGTTGTTTTTGTTGTTGATGTTGAAATTGTTGATGTTGTTGTTGTTGTGGTTTTTGATGGAAAGGATAGAAATGACGTTCCAGCGTTCCTTCTGAGTTGTCACGCCTACAAATAATTTGATAATGAAAATTTTAATAATGATTCAAATAATAAGAATAATATTAGTAATAATAATAACAATAATAATAACAATAATAATAATAATAACAATAATAATAATGTTTTTGATAAAAGTGAACAATTTAATTCAATGAATAAAGGAGAATATAGACTAGAATGAATGTTTCAGCCATTCAAAGAAATTCCCTTCGAAAAAAAAATTTTTCATAAAGTAATTTTTGAATGTAAATAAATTTAATAATGAAAATAATAACACCAACAATTATAATCATAATAACAACAATAGCAATCTGAAACTACAAAAACAAACAAATAACAATGATACAAACTCGAAGGAGAAAAAAGAAAAAAAAATTGCAGAATTAGGTCAATAAATACAATTGGGTCAATGTATACAATTGGTCCAACTTAACAAACGTTTGCATATGTAAGCATAGATAAGTCAATGCTCTAATTTTATTTTTTGCCTCTAATCCAAGCAGGCATGTTTTAGTAACCATTATTTTTATTATCACTTTTAATTGTTACTGTTTAGTAGCATATTTTCATTTACATTTTTATCATAGTAATTTATATTTGAAGAGATTTTTGTTATTAACAATACAACATTTGGGTATTCATTCATTCATATTGCTACATTCAATCATTCATTCACAAATTTTTTTGTATAGTTTTCACTTATTTACGTATATGTTTATATGCTTATTTGTTTATGTGTTTATTTGTTTATGTGTTTATTTGTTTATGTGTTTGTGTGTGCGTTCGTTTAGCCAATCACTCTGTCTCTCTCTCTAATCGATGTATTCAGACAATCAAATATTGATTTTTTCGCTTTTTCCAACTACATGAACAGATAACCATCCAACCAACCATCCAACCAACCATCCAACCGCTCAACCATCAACCCATCCATTCATTTGAATATCCCTACCTCCTTCCATCCATCCATCCGTCCGTCCGTCCATCCATCATTTTCTTTCATTCATCGCGATCAATCATAATTTTTTTTAATTCATTCGAGCGTGAATTGCATAATGCATGCATGCACCGGCACCGATTATCTTAATACATTTAATCTTTTAATCGTTTCTTACTCTGGG